ATTTAACTTTGTTCTTTTGTACAAACTTTTCATCAACAAAGTTTCTTGAAGCGCCACTATCTAGCAATACCCATGCTGGCTTGCCATTAACTTGGCCATTAAATTTCAACAATCTTTCTCTATTATCTTCTAAATGAGCAAACTCAACTCTTTTATATAATGATGATGAAGATTCTTCTTGTTTGTCTTTAATATTTGCAATCTTGGCCTTTGGTTTTGAATAATAATTCTTGGTGAAGTGGTCTGGTTTGTCACCGTTATAACATGTATCTTTGGATTTATTATTCTTCTGATTATTATTATTCTTTCTATTATTATAATAACTTTCTGTCTGGTCTAACTCCATTGGTATAGGACCATTATTTTGGTAATTTCTGTATGAGTTCTGAGAGTGATGACTATTTCTGCTTGATAAGCCTAAAGATCTGCCTTGTCCATACATAGCTATGTTATAGCGAATAGCTAACTTCCAAGCATCTTCTAAGATTTCTGGTGCCTAGTAACTTATCTCCATCTTTGTGACTGGTTTTAGACCTTCTATAAAATAGGTAACCTGATCTAAAGCACTCATGTCTGTGATTTGTCTAACTATATTTCTGAATTTTATACCATAGTCTTGTACAGATTCAGTTTGGTGAAGAAGATGAAGTTGTTTGTGAAGATGTTGTTGATAGTGAGGTGGTTGAAAGACTTCTTGAAGTGTTGTAATAAATGTATCCCAATTCTCAAAAGGTATTGCATCATTATTAACCTTGTATCTGTTGAGATACCAGTGTAATGCTGCATTAGTAAAGGAGGTTGCTACATATTGTACTTGTATCTTTTCATCTGTAATTCCTTGAGCCATGAATACAGTTTTGATTTGCATAATCCAGACAAGTACATTTTTGCTTGGTTCTCCAGAGTATATAGGTAATTTTACTGAAAGATAAGATGAGAGCTTGGAACTGGATGGATCATTTTCTTTTACAGTCTTGATTAATTCAGCTATACTTGTCATGAATTGTGTGAATTATTCTTGATTCATCTTGACAAAATATTATTTTTCAAAAACTAAAATATGTGTATGTAAAGTGTATAGTATGTGGTGTAATATGTAAGGTATTAGAGGGTGGTATTTGTAATAATCATGTCCATTGCTATCAAGTTGTAAGATTATTTTATTAATGGTTGTAAACAAGATAAAATGTGATATGAATAAGTTTTTAATTTTATAACTTATAATTATTTTTATTATTTAAAAGTATTCAGATCTGAAGTTAAAAGTACAGAATAGACAGATTATATTTATAATAAAAGAAATAAATATAAAATATGAATAAATTAATAATAATCTATAAATAAAATACATATGAGTTAAACAGTATTAATTAACTTAATTTGCATCTTCAGAGAGCAACTAATTATAGTCTAATAATTAATAATAATTATAAATAATAATAAATAATAATATAAATAATGATAAAAAAGAATGAGTAAGAAAATAAGAAATTGTTAAAAGAAAAATATTAATAATTTAAATTAATAATTGTGATATATATAGTGATTATTTGAGTAATAATATACTAAATCTAGATATATTAAATACATAATGATCATTTATGTATCCAGAGTGAAATTGATCTTCTTAGAAATATAATACAAAGCTAATCTGTTATACAGATAGCACAAAATGAAAATTTAAGCTAAAAGAGATCTAAAGAAAGATAATCCAATTAAAATTATTATAGCTTTCTATTAAGATAGATATGATTGATTATTTTTATATAATTGCTATTTATTTAACATATCTGAAATTAGATATCCTATTATAATATAATTCAAATAATAAAAATAAGATCTGTTATATTGATATTTATAATTATGTTTAAGAATTTGTCAATAGGATTCAATAATTATTATTATTCTCACTATAGGTATGGAGTAAAGATAGCTCCTCAACTAGTTGTGACTTGCAGCAGCCAATTAGAGAATTATGACAGAATTGTGACTAGTTATTACTCCTATTACTAGTATAAAGTATAAGTAGGATGATCAAGTAAAAAGCTTCCAATTCTTTTTACTATACCAGTTCATTTACAGATATACCCATAAATAAATAAGATTTTTTTGTTGATAATATTAATAGATCTTATTTATATTTTTGTAATATATCTTATTAGATATGAGGAATATATTTATATCTATGAGTATTAATGAATAAAGTGTTGAATATTTTTTTATTAAGTTCTTAACTGACTTTACATCTATTTTAGAATATAAGAGATTTTATCTTTCTGTAGGAATCCAGTTTGGATCAATAAAGATAAATTAATCATTTGCTTCTCTTGCATTTTGAATTGAGTATTGTGAAGATTTATAATTTTTTTCATTTATTTTATAATTAATTGCATATTTAATATGCCAGAGACATAATTGAATATTTATTATCCAAGATCAAGTCTCCTATACTATTGTAATTTATCCTATATTCTTGTCAAGAAGAATGAATGAAGGTAAAATTTATTCTGCTTTAATTAATTAAAAGAAGACTATAAGTGTTATAACATGATTATTAATATTATTTATCAGATTTTGTAACAGATCTTTAGATATGATGAATATATTAAGATATAAATAAGCAAGTAATATATCAAAATCTCCATAATTGATTGCTAAAACAAATAATTCAAATTTTTCTTGATTAGTTTTGAATATAGAGTTAATAATAAGCTCATTAATATCATTCTTTAAAATAGTATTTATGAAAGATATGATGAATCCAAGTGCTCTAACAAAATCATTTTCAAGATAAAGCATTAATTTATAGTCTGTATTAATTAAATCAGATTACTATATATAATCTTTTATTAAAACAACTTGATTTTTTACATTTATTATATATTTTTTAGCAGAAAGTTTAAATATTCAATAGTATGTCTGATAATAAGTATACTTTGTTAGATCTATTAACTTTTTCTCAAAAAGTCTTTTATGAAATTCTATCTTATAAAGTTCATGATCTATATGTATTTTGATCCAATTTATAGCTACTTGAAATAATTTAGTTTCATAATATGTTGAATTTTGATAAAATAAGTAATTAAATGTAAGATTAACTTGTCTTAAAGAAATATTGATATTTATTTTGATTTTTCCATTACAGGAAAATTATTCAATATCTAATTATAATTCACTAATATATTATACAGATTGATCATAAAGACACTTATACTATTATTCAATTCTCTGAGAATAGGATAAGTAAATACTAGCACATCTATAAGATTGATTAGCTATTGTATTTATATAAAGTTTATTTAATTCTCAAAGATATTTTGATCTAGTCTCAATCAAAATTATTAAGATATTTATAATATGATGAAAAATATTATTAGTTTGATTTATTTCATTTAGTGGCATCTTAATAAGTTCATCATTTAATTCAATTATAACTGAAAATTGAATATGATCATTCTCTTCTCTATTTTTTTCTTGGAAGTATATAGTAATAAGTTTTTCAAAATTATCTAAGTCATAAATAAGTTCTTTATTTTTTCTATTACTTTCTATTAATTAATTTAAGTTATTATTGCTTGCTGGTGATTCATAACTTGTCATACTTTCAATAATAGAATTTTTATTTGATGAAACTTATTTTTTTTATGCAGAACAATAATTATACATTACCCATAAACTAGTTTTTGTGTCACAAGTTTGCATAAAATTAATGATCAGCCTCATTTCGCTACAATATGTATATATTTTCATTTTAGATAAATCTATAAATTATTTAGGATTTATTATCAAAAATTAAATAATTTATTTCATATATGAATATTACTTTATTATATTAATATAATATTAAAACCAACCATCCAGATTAGTATTTGATAAGAAAATTCATCAGATATTATGTAAGTTAGTATATCAAATAAATTAAAAAATTCAACTAATATTTATTATTGGTAATGTGAAAGTAATTATATTTTTTATGATGATAAAGTAACTTATATCTGTTTATATACTAAGTCTGTGAATATAATTATGCTTTAATTTTTGAAAATTTATTTTATACAATATTAATATATGTATATTTAGAATCTTTAACTGAATTATTGAAGTTCTTATATAGAGATATTTTGATTTATTATTATATCTAATTTGCTAAATATAGGTGAATAATATAAAATAATGATAAAATATTTAATATAAGTATTAATAAATTACCAGTTCAATATATTAATGATTTATTTATTATAATCTTTATTAATTACAATACAGCTGATTCTCTTTGAGTATCATTCATAATAAATAGTAGTTTATTTTAAGAAATTGCACAAATAATAATATTATTATCAAATTATAATACTTGATTATAATTCTTAATTATTTTTTTTAAATATATAAATATTAATAGTGCTCTGATTATCAATTCTTCTTATACTTATTTTTATTTATCATTAATAGAAAAAAATATACCATTTAATAGTAGTTATTAACTGAATAATAGTATATACATATAGTTATTTTGGCTTTCATATTAAATCAAAGTCCAAATTTGATATATTATTTAATATCTAATCATAATAATTATATATATTTGATAATCATGAGATTAAACTTATCTAATGAAATATAATGGCTTGTATAACTCATAATTATGGGACTGCTAATTATTTTCGATATCACTAAGTTATTATAAATATTAGATATATGTCAAGATGTATAAGTCTACTGCTAATAATATCCATAAGCATGCCAAACTTATCAATAAAGTTCATACAGTTTTCTAAGTTGGCTTTATCAATTAGATTTTGGTAATCCTGCTGATATATCTCATTATCCCACTTTAAAAGAACTGACCTGGATATTGGACCCCATCTGTCTAACAATTTTCCAACTAATTCAAGTATAAACTCTTCACCTTAGTTATTTTTCTTGTTCTTGTATTGAAGAGTTCAAAGTGTGATGATTTCTTCGAGTTTCCAAACTGGCATGAAATATTTAGCAAATCCTGGCTATTTGATAGTCTCATTAAATCTTTTCCCTCTTGATGTGAGCTGGATCATATAGGCCTGATAATTAAATATCAAAGCTTGCGCATCAACTATAAGGAAGTTATTAGGACTATTCAGTATTCCATCAAACAGGTTAATATCCCCTTTTTGCACATTATTATTAGGTAAGAATCGATAGCAAATTTTTTCGTTGTATTATCAGATTATTGTAGTCTCAGGAAAATTGTAGCGAATACAAAAGAGAAGATATAGACCAAAATATTTTTTTCTGATACCAGGAGTACCAGTAATTGTGCAACTAGCAGAGGCTGAGCCATTTGATTTGCGATCCATTTCAATTAAGTCGAATAACTGCAGATAACAGTTCCGTATAAGAAGCTTCAATCCATAACTTTTATTTCCCAAAAAGAACATACCATCCGGTAGATATAGCATCCCTCCAAAGTCATTCATTAGTATTGATGGCAATTCCACATCTGTTTTCTTCCCATTATCATACAGCATGCCATCTGAATTAGTAGTCACATTTTTATTTAGAAAGACATAGTTATTTTCGATCGTAGAGTAAGATTCCAGAGCATTAAGTTCAGCTTTATCCATATCTTCTGGAATCGGGAAGATTATTTTTGCATCAGGAAGTTTTTTCCAAAATTCGACAACACCGGGTCCTGCTGTGAGAATAATGCAAATGAAAAAAATAAGGGTATTGTTAGTCATTCCCATATTTTTTCAGTAAAATAATATAACACCTTTAATGAGTATGGCTACATAAATTAACAAACCTTGGAGATTTTGTTCTATATAACAGGAATAAATGTATAAGGCACAAGTTAATGAAATTATTGCGGAGAAACAGTATATGTTTGGAATATTCAAATGCAGTCGTGGTACTAACAAGGAAGGTGTGGTGTATTGAAGGAATCACAAAGTCGTTACAACGTAACCAGGTGAACCACAATAAGTAGTTAGAATATCATCGTCATCTTTCATGAATTTTGCAGTTCTAAACATTTAGCAAAAAAT